ATTTGAAAAAGTAACTCAGATATTATCTTGTAAATTAAAAAGTAATGCTTTACTAGTTACTTGAAAAAAGTAATCTGATTACATAACTCGCGTTACTTGTAATGCGTTACCCCCAACACTGATAAAGAGTACGTGCCTCTCACTCTGCACTGGTTGCTATTTGATCGCGTCATATCATTGTTCAGTACAATTTATTCAGTCTTTTCGCTTATTATTTCAGCCGAATAATTTCGGTTACCGAACATTCGGTGCATCCCTACTAATTCACACTCACTGTGAGGGTAGCACCAAATTAATTCCAAGAACTCGCCAGCAGATGACATCCATAGCGCTTCTGGCGCACTCAGTGTCCAAATTCGCTCACTCGTTTTCATTCACTCTTTCAAGTAGACTATTTCAGTGGAGTAACAGCAATGCAACAGTCACATGCTTTGTTCCTGTGAATCTGTGTATCTAAATAAATCAGTTGAAGGAATCATTCAATGATTCAGTCATTACTTTTCGCCACCTACTGGCATATCAGTGTAACCTGCAGAAAACGTAACTTTTTTTTTTTGCAGAAAAAGTAACTGAAAAATCCACTCCACTAATACACAGACTGACAGTCTGTTACATGCAAGCACAGACAAGCGAGTGATACAAACTTGGAAAACATCTCGGCCAATCAAATTCAAGTTCTAAATAAATCAGTTGAAGGAATCATTCAATGATTCAGTCATTACTTTTCGCCACCTACTGGCATATCAGTGTAACCTGCAGAAAACGTAACTTTTTTTTTTGCAGAAAAAGTAACTGAAAAATCCACTCCACTAATACACAGACTGACAGTCTGTTACATGCAAGCACAGACAAGCGAGTGATACAAACTTGGAAAACATCTCGGCCAATCAAATTCAAGGTGCGAAGCTAATTGTTGTATAATTATCCATATAACACTGCTGCAGTGTTACTGCAGCTCTTTCAACTTAGAATAACACCAGTCTGTAACCAGATAATAGACAGTGGCCAATAACTACTTCCAAAAAAGTCAGCACACCATTTCTAAGTAATGAGCAACACGTTAAAAGTATCACCAGGGGTTGTTGATGGAAAGAAGTTGCAAACACTGTTGTGATGCTGGTTTCACATTACAGTCTCACTGAGCAGTCTCAGATTCAGAACTCGCAGAACAAGGACTACGACAACAAACAATGCAGTCAAGAACAGCAGAATTCAAACAGTCAGACGGGAAGGAAACAAACTTCAAGAAGGGAATCAGTCGAGAACTTTCTATTTAAAACAGGTCAAAACTTCCCTTGAGGTTTTCCAAAAACTAACTGTGGGGAAAACACAGAAGTATTGAACTATAAAGGGTATTTTTATGGTTTTGGGACATTTTTGTTATAAAGGAGTTGACAATAATAAATGGCGTATGAACATTTTTTTGTTTTTCATGTATTCAGCATATATAGTCTTATGCAAGCCTGACTAAGATGATTAGAAAGGACTTTATCGCTTTCTTCAACCATTTTCAGCAGTAACCCACACTGGCTTTGCTCTCTGGTCATGATAGAAAAAAAGAACCAAAATAACATAACTGGCCCACTTTCAGAAATTACGCAATAATATAGTCATAGACAACCAACCTGGGAAAATGCCAGAACAGAGGCCTACACATAGTGTCAAGTGACATGTTCAGAGCAGCTGCAACATAGCAGCAATAAACCAAATGCCAATATCCAATAAGATAGTAAATAGACTATATATTAGCCATGATAAAAAAAAACATTTACTCTTCAGAGAAGGAATTTTGATCATTCATTTCCCTGTGTGCAAATTTGCCTAAGCCTACTTAACAGATTAGACTTGTTTATCCTGTTTGAGAAAAAGGTGGTGTGATGCTTCATACTGGTAATCTCTTTCTATTTGTGGTCAGTTGTGCACACATTCTCATCGTCATTTAAGGGAGAAATTCTTGTAGTGTCATCTAGAGAACAACTGAGGTTATGGAGTTGTACTCAATGACCTCAGATGTTTATCTAGAGCGACTGCAGTTGATTTGGTTATTTGGCTCCAAATGGATTTTAAATCTCACAGACTCAAAGAAGCATCCTTTCTGATTATGGCTGGACTTTAACACAATAATGAACTACTGTACGTAGTCAACCAAAATGCCTACTACCCCCGTGTGTACCAATCCAGGCACATGTGAAACTCATTTACAAAATCACCACTAGGTGGCGCAAAAGGGACGGTTGACACCATTTCTCAATAAAGCTGGAATTGTTAAATTTTCACTTGTAAATAAAGATAAAAATAATGAAATAAATCAGTGGTAATATTGGAATAATAGACTAATAAAGCATTATAACATTTAATCTCGAATTATTAATCATATAAATGTTTATTGTTCCAGTTGTTTGACCACTGTTATGGTGAAATAATACAGTGACAGCAGTGCAGCTTGAAGTGTACTTACTTTTTACTGTACAGTACCAGCCAGTATTTTAGATGACTTCTTTGAATGTTTAGATTACATTAAAAGAGGTGACCATTATGCCCTAAAAAATAAAACGATACAAAAGGTGGATTATTGTTGCTAGGAGGATTATGAGTGATGTAGGCCTAGCTCTAACACATATTTTGGCATCGTCACATTATTGTCACAAATGAAAGTTTTGAAACTTACTTCATTTCAGCAGGTCACGCATACTTATGCATATTCATTATCTGTCCCTTTTTGACACATCAATTCCCGCAAACAGAGCCCTGCTCATGACATGCCAAAAATCATAATCTCAATGAATTAAGAAATTGTTGATCACTTTTTATTAAATTGTTCCTCTGTATAAATTAAAACATGTTTAAATAATAATTAAATCATGTTTTAACTAACAATAATAATAAAATGCATAACACATACCTTTTACACGTTTATTAATTTTTTAGGATATTCACAATTAACTAAAATGATGGATCTTAAACCAAAAGAACGAATTAATAAACCCAGGAAGCAAATGGGGGTTCATTGCCTTGCTCAAGGGCACCAGTCGTGGATTGAGGGTGGAAGAGAGCGCTGTTCATTCCCTCTCCTCACCTACTTTTCCTACCAGTACTGAGAATCGACCTTCAGGTTACAAGTCCGACTCTCTAACCATTAGGCCACGACCCCAGCCAAAGAGACCCAGGGTGTACGTGAGAGAGAGACAGAAACGCTGCAGTTCTTTTGGCAATACAAAGGTAAAAATATATTACATAATAAGAATGCTGTATTTCACATTTTACATCAAATTGCACAGGGAATACATGCAAACCTGTAATAAAACTGTCCAGAGACTTCATGTAATCAGTTTAAGTTTCAGTATTCTACTAATATATATATATACAGTGGGTACGGAAAGTATTCAGACCCCCTTAAAATTTTCACTCTTAACAATATTGCAGCCATTTGCTAAAATCATTCAAGTTAAGTTTTTTTCCTCATTAATGTACACACAGCACTTTAGTAGGCTATAGAGCTTAAATAGGCCTATTAAAACTAAAATGACAAACTAAAATAAAAATTAACAATTCTAAATAAACACACATAAGTACTAAATTTGCTTCAGTGAATATGAATTATTTTAACTACTGTGTTTTTCTTTGATTTTCTGCTGACTGCAGCCATCAAACATAACCCATCGGCAAGGCAAAGCTGACTGCTATTTGTGAAAATGCGCTTTGACGCATTCGCTTGATAACTTGAGGTTAACGCCACTAAGCGGTCGAAAGCTGCAAATGCATTTTGCAGACACGGAGGCGGCGGTACCCGCGGTGGTAAAAAACTCATTCTGGTTGAGTATCATCTGTATGTGTCACATTAATCAGAATCAGAATCATTGCATAAAATTGAATAAAATCAAGTGTTTGTGCAATTCCATATAAGTAGTGATTTGAGGAATACAGCCTAGTGCAATTAATCATTTACTGTTAGTTGTAATACTTTAATATAAGCTGTTTCTGTTGTTTGCATGTGTCAGGAAGTACAGGAGGTCAGTGTTAGGCCTACTAGTGGAGTAATAAAGACGGTCAAATTCAGTTCAATCACAGTTTTTGGCTGGGTTTAAGTTGCTGTTTACATATAAAACGGCTTACCCTGCATTATTGCTGACTGCAGTCAGGCTCTTAACTCCTGTCTTCAGCAAACTGTTAATCAGATTTTCTGGAATACCACACAGGCCAAAACCTGTGAATGAGAGGAAAGGATATGATAGAAATTACAAAATGGTTGACATCAGCTATTTATCAAGGAGATGTCAATAATGCTGTTGTAATATAATATAATATATACAATAATAATAATAATAAAATGTCATTTAAAAATTCAGTACAAGTTTTTGAAATAAATTAATATATTTGTTCAGCAAGGACAACTTAAATTGATTAAAAGTGACTATAAATTTATTACAATGTAAATAAATACAATTCAAATATAGGCTAAAGAATACCGCTTTAATAAGAAGAAGAATAAAGAGAAGAAATGCTTCTTGAACACCAAATCAGTATAACAGAATGATTTCTGAAGGATCATGTGACACTGAAGACTGGAGTAATGGGTTACCTGCTGAATTATTTTTGATCAAATAAACACAGCCTTGCATAAGAGACTACTTTTAAAAACATTACAAAAAATATATTACTGACCCCAAACCTTGTGAATGGTACTCTAAGTAATAAGCAGACAGTTACTGATAAAGGATGAGTTGATGATAAATCATAACTCTCTTACCTCCCACAAGAATAGTCGCTCCATTAGGAATATCCTTAACTGCGTCAAGGGGGTCTGAATAAAATCGCCCGGACCGTTGTCTTGAAGTGGAAAAATAACAGCAACAATTCTGCCAACAACAGACATTTAGCAGAATGAATGAAGCAGGCTGAACATACAAAAACACTACAGGCAACAACTTCAAAGCATTAATGAAAGAGATTTACACACTTCAGTCAGTGAATCTGTACTACAATGGAAATCCTTTAAGCTTCCTTTCAATCTCCTTTTCCATTGAATAAAATCAAGTGTTTGTGCAATTCCATATAAGAAGTGATTTGAGGAATACAGCCTAGTGCAATACAAACACTATAAAGATCAGTGGTTGACTTTTCCATTCACGAGTACTGCGCCTCTCATGATGTTAACCATATACAATGGAATCCTAAATCATGCATAGAACATGCATTGTTGTCAGTCAACTACAGTTTGAACATTTCCCCATGCTGACATGCACATGCTAAACAAACCCCGGGAGTCCAGCCAAGACGTCCATTTCATTTATATCCTTATTTGTTGACACAAAAGTGCGTGTTTGACCTCACAAATGCTCCACCAAAGGACGAGGAGAGGAAACAGCTCGTATATGGCAGCCTTAAGCAGTATTACCAAATAATAATAGACAAAAATACTGAGTTATAGTACGACCATTACCACTGTTATTCCTTGAAACAATCATTCAAAGGTTTCTGCTCTGACTGTATACAGAACAACTCCATGAACCTCAGAGGCACACATGACACTAGCATGAGATTGTGTCATAACTATATGACTTCAAAACCCAGGCTTAGCAGTCTGGGTCTGGAGAATTCCTCTCCTTGTTCTGAGAACTAGTTATTATAGCAGTCTACTTCACATGTTGTGTGATATAAAAAGCCAAAACTTGTGGGTGGAACAAAAGGGGAGGCATGTGAGTAGGAGAGAGCAGAGTTGGGTTACTGTTAACCAAGGAATAATGTTGGCAGTGCTGTCAAGTTAGTTGTCCTAATTTTAAAATCTAGCATTTTCGTGGAAGTTATGGATAAAATCTGTGATTTATGCCTTATGACAGTAATGCTTAGTGACCATGTGTTTCCAGGTCAACAATAAAACAAATACATGAAAACATGAATGATTGGTTGCTACTCTGAAAATCAAGGACAACTGCATGCTGATGGTCTTTAAATGGTTTGCTAACAAAACACAATGCCGCACAAAATGACTAGTTTCACTAGTCTCTGTCTGAGATAGATGCAATTACACAAGCTTTTGATTTCAAGTAAATATATAAGCGTTGCAACACATCATTCTTTTAAACTCATGCACACACATCATATATATTATTACATATAGCCTTCTAATAAGATCTGCATGTCTATCTTATCTATGCAATGGAAAGTGGGGTTCAAAAAGAGGCAAAAACAGAAGCACCGACACGTTCAACATCGTGCAACATTTCGGATGCACCGTCTTTTGTTTGTAAACACTGACCTTGCCAACGGAGAATCGAGAGATGTTCGTCTTGATCGTCGCTGTCACGTTCCTGATGATCACACTCTCCACTCTAGATAGCGCTTTAAGAGTCGCCATGTCTGCAAATGACAGGCCTGATATTGTGTGTAGTGAATGATGGTGACAGTATGCCCTCGTTGATCTCAGACAGGCGGGGATGAAGTAAGAGAAGGACTGTCGGGGGCTCGATTTGCTTATTTGCATTTAACCCTCTCACCACCATCTAGCGATTTCCGATTCATGAATCGGATCATTTTTAATGTGTCGGATGTTCCCCATACCAGTCAGAACGATTTGTTCACGAATCGTGAATCTTTCAGAGTGGTTCCAGATTGAACAAGGCAGCTATTTAATACATATCCATAATACATAATGCATACATATATATTATATTATATTATATTATATTACATTACATTACATTACATTACATTACATTACATTACATTAATTTACTTTACTTTACTTTACTTTACTTTACTTTACATTATATTACATTACATTACATTACGTCAAGATGATGCAATCATCTGATAAATAATATCTAATAAAATTCATAGCAATCAAATATATTTTTATATTTGGGATTGTCTTTTACTAGACATGTTACTGGGCATTTTTAATTTTCTCAGTATTTTTGTTAATTCACTATTTCACACTTGAAAATATTTTTGATAGAAATCAAAGTTTAATATTAGAGATTTGATCAAAGATAAGATTTAAAAGTCTGTAATTGTTTTTAGTTGGTCTTATATTGTTATGGTTTTCATTTTATCACTTTTATTATATTTTTATTTACTTATTTTATTTTTTGCCATGAAAAACAAAAGTTAAGCAAGCAAACAAAATTATAGTTAAATTTATGTGGATCTAGTCCTTTTAATTTTTTTTATTCTGGCCTGAAATCAGCTTTTATGAAGTGAAAATGTGCAGATCAGGCAGAGGTACCCTGTCGGATGGCATGTGGGTCTCCTCCTCTCTTTCTGAACTGTATATCTCTGATTGAGCAGCTGGTGAGATTATGCCAGTCACTCTGAGACCTCCACTATTTCCCATTGCAAGTGAGATGTCTTGAGAGCCGCCCACTGAATTGAATTGTTCAATAAAATAATTGTGATACGAACAAACAGATTAAAGCAACGGATGGCGGTAAACTGTGCTTCAAAAGCCCCTCAGCAGGAATACATTATATGGTGTCTTCATAAATACTGCTTTGCAATAAAAAGAACAAATAAAACGTGGTGTATAATGAGTCTTTTTTATGGCATTTATCTTCTGGTTAGACTGAGCAGCTCTGTCCTACTGGTGTGAAATGTTTATATTATATTATATTACATTACATTACTTTATTTTATTTTATATTATATTATATTATATTATATTATATTATATTAT